TCAGATGACCAATAAATATATAAAAAATTTTCACATCTTTAGCAATCGGTGAAATACAAGTCAAAACTACACTAATGTTTCACCTCCAGTTAGAATGGTAATTATCAAGAGTACAAAGAATAATTAATGTTAGCAAGGATGTAGGGGGAAAGGAGCGCTTTTCAACTGTTAGTAGGATTGTAAATCAGTTCAACCACTATGGAAATCAATATGGAGTTTTCTCAAAAGACTAGGAATGGAACTGCCATATGACCCTGCTATGCCACTCCTCAGTATTTATCCAAAATAATTAAAGTAAGCATACTTTAGAGATGAGCATACCCATGTTCATAGCAGTGCAATTCACAATAGCCAAATTATGGGACTACCCTAGATGTCTGTTAACAGATGAATGGATAAAGAATATATATGTTATATATATACAGTGGAGTTTTATTTAGCCACAAAGGAGAATGAACTTATGTCATTTGCAGGAGAATGGATGGAACTGGAGAGTATCATATTAAATGAAGTGAGCCATAATCTGAAAGTCAAAGGTCATATGTTTCTTCTCATATGTGGAAGCTAGAGAGGAAAAGTGAAAAAAAGGAATCTCATGAAAATAGAAGGGAGACCAGTAGAGTAGAGGAATGGGGTCATGAGGATGGAAAGAAGAGTTATTGGGGAATGAAATTGATCAAATTATGTTATGTGACAAATATGTCACAATGAATCCCACTATTATTTGTAATTATAATGTACCAATAAAAAATTTCAAAAAGACTTGGAAACCAACCTGGACAGAAGATGCTAAACCAAGTGTATGGGTTAGAATTATCAACTGGGTATGCATTCATTAATGTGCTACATGTATTTCACCCTTACCCTGTTTATATATAACCCCCAGTAGGGTTTTTTTGTGTGTGTGTGATGCCGGGGATCAAACTCAGGGCTTTATGCATGCAAGGCAAGCATTCTACCAACTGAACTATATCCCCAGACCCCCAGAAGGTTTTTATGAAAGTTTACATTTGAGATAAATTGTTTAATAGATTGAAGATCTGGAATTTTGGAGTTTTAATATATCAGCAAGCCATTTAATTTCCTTTACTCTATTGGAATCTCCCTATCTGTAAAACAGGCATGGAATTATCTTATCACAGGCTGCTTCATAGATAAAATGAGATAAATAACCACTAATAAATAACCGTTATAGCTTATGTTTATTGAAAACTTTCTGTGTGCCAGGTACTGTTATAATGATGTCACTTATACTTGTTCACTTAATCCTCAGAGGTTCTGTTTTCTCTATTTTATGGTTAAGAAACTGAGATCAAAGATATAGAAACTCTTTGAAAATTCTAAAATAGATTAAATGTTATTAAATAAAAATTAGATATTATTATTGTTATTATTATTATTAGGCTTTATGTTTTAGAGATGTTTTAGGTTCATAGAGCGGGAGGTCAGAGTTGCCATATATCCCCTTCCCCACCACACATAGCCTCCACCATTGTCAACATCCCTCCAGCAGAGTGGTACGTGTTACAGTTGACTAACACATTGACACATCATTGTCACCCCAAATTCATAGTTTACATTAGGATTCACTCTTGGCCTTATACATTCTATGAGTTTGGACACATGTATAACAGTATGTTTTTACCATTATGGTATCATTTGTAGTGTTATCATCAGGGTGTCCAGTTGGGGTCCAGGTCCTTGGTGTCCTGAACAAAGACTTGAGCAAGACACACTCAAGTAACAGGCAAAGTACAGATTTATTGAAGGTAAAGGTGAGAGTAGCAATCCATTAGGTAGAGCAGAATGGGCCAAGCAAGGGAGAAGAGCTCAAGGCCCTGATCTCTAGAAATTAGTGCCTTATATGCTGAGCTGTGAGGTGTTCTCTCCCCGATACAGACCTGGTGGAAGACCTTACCCCATTTGCTCCCATTAGTTACCTTATGATACCTCATTAGAATATTGTCCAATTTCCCCTCATTGGTAACTTTAGAAAACTGAATTAGAATACTTCCCACTTTACTCCCATTGGCCATTTTAAAATACTGAACACATGGTAGGAGTTGTCATGGTGATAAGTTCTCAGGGGTGGGAGCTGTCATGATAATGGGATTTATTGTAAACAGAGACAGGACTTGGCTCCTTGTTCTCTAGTGGCTTTTCTAATACTGTGTCAGCCATCTTGGTGTCCCTGAACTCTTTTTTTAAAAAATATTTTTTTAGTTGTAGATGAACATAATACCTTTATTTTATTCATTTATTTATATGTGGTGCTGAGGATTGAACCCAGGGCCTCACCAATGAGCACAACCCCAGCCCCCTGAACTATAAATAAAACTGCCTGTTTTAGTCAGAATTTTTGTTACTATGACCAAAAGACCTACAAAAACATTTTTAAGGAGGGAAAGTCTATCTGGGGGTTCACAGTTTCAGAAGTCTCACTCCATAGAGAGTTGGCTCCATTCCCTGGGGCTCCAGGTGAGGAAAAACATCATGTGGAAGAAAATGGCAGAGGGAAGCATCTCACCTGATGATCAGGAAGCACAGAGAGAGCTCTACTCAACAAAGACAAAATGTATACCCCAAAGATGCCCCCAATGCTCACTTCCTCCTGCTGCATCCTACCATCCCTCATTTACCACTCAGTTAATCCTTGTCAGGGAATTAATTCACTGATTGGGTTAAGTCTCTGTAACCCAATCATTTCACCTTGAAACTTTTTTGCATTTTCTCACACATGAGCTTTTGGGGACACCTAATATCTAAACCATAACACACCCTAAAAATCCGCCATGCTGAGCATGATCATACCTTCCTCCCCTTTACCCCTGGTGACCACTGATATTTTTACTGTCTCCGTAGTTATCTTTTCCAGAATGTTATATTAGTTGAAATCATACAGTATATGGCTTCTTTCTCTTTATTATATGAACTTAAGTTTCCTCCTTGTCTTTTCAGTAGCTTTGTGGCTCATTTCTTTTTAGTGCTGTGTGATATTCCATTGTTTAGATGTAACAAAGTCGTTTTTTTTTTT